CACCTCAGTTGTCGCTCTGGCTTTGCTGCCCTTCATGGTTCAGGCTGCTGCGATCCGCAAGCGCTCTGAAGATCTCATCGATATCGAGACATTCACCGAGTCCGGTGAGTGCAAACAGGTAGAACATGTCGAATGCCGCTGATCCTCCTCCACAGACTGCAGCGGCGAAAGCCAAAATTACGAAGATATTTCGCCTGGTCATGTCTCGCAGTCGCTTGGCAGTCCCAGGTTTGCACTCTCTCGTAGTACGTGCTCACGACAGGCAATCTTACATTTGCACAAGGGCGGCGTTCAGGGTCATCCAGAGCCAGAACTCCTGTAAGTCCTTTCCTTCAAGCAAGTTGACGGCCCGCTCAATCCTTGCGCAGGCTCCATTACCCTGCATGGCGAGAATAACCAAGAGACGGTCATTCCCGCATTTGCCTTGGCGCCTGGCACCTGCCTCCATACTAACGACGGGCAGGAATTCATCTCGTTTGAGTACAGTGCGTCCTTTGTCGAACCGTAGAAGATACATAGGCTGACTGTGTACCGATAGGCTGTAACGGCGGAAGTGAGCCACAGGTCGTTGATCGTATGTGCCCATTTACTGACTTTCTTATCAGCCCCCACCGTGAACCAACTGTACGCCAGCTCCGCTCATTGGTGAGTGACGTTGGCCTGGTTATCGGTCTGCTCTCTTTTCGGCCTGTTCTCCCGGGGATGGGAGAGTCAATATGATTGTCAAAAAAGTATTGTAGTATGTAGTATGGTTATTTAGTCAGACCCAATACTTGTGTGTTCCTTTCATACGGATGAGTCCCCCACGCACAAAGCATCGGCAGCACATAAAAGTACACATTAACGTCATAATGGTAGTGTGCAATGCACGCGTGTGGTCCCGTGTCCGTCTACTTTGCAGCGAAAGAAACCCCGCCCACTCAGAGCTGGCGTCGCTTCTTCGCCGTTCGCGTATAATGGGTCAACACCCACTCCTTCTCAGCTTCGTTCTGCTCGATAGTACCAAGACGGATCTCGTATGCTGTCATCGTCGTCAGTGCGGGGTATGAAGCGCGAGGGCAAGGGACGAACGTTTCATCTCGAACCTGGGCCCGACTTCGGCTAGCTCGACAGACTTGTGTGACGTGCGGACGAAGACGTGGTGTCTAGAATCTTGTCAGGATGTGATGCGACTTCCAAGCCTGGGGATGTGTACTCACCGGAAGGAGATGAAGTCGCTCTCATTGACAAAGCTCATTACCCTCTTACTGTCATCCTTCGGGACCGGAAAGAGGTATCTCAGGGCATCCATGACCCTATTCCCTAGCGGGCTCGAGAAGCCTTCGAAAACCAAATGTGGATACTGCTCGCTGACGGTGCTCTGCCCATAAGCCGCAATATCGTGTCGTAGAGCAACGTTGTGCAGGGTGAAGAAGAGAGTTGGCCCGTGCGGAAAATGGGAGACGATGAGCGCGTCAGGCGTCCCTCGGTGCTCGTGTAGGATCAGAAGGTCCGTCACGTCGTTTGCTCGACAGGCGGTAGCAAGCTCGGAGACGACGTAGTTTCCTCGGTTTATACGGTGTGCGTTGGGGAATACGAGACGCATTTCCTTGGTTCAGCGTGAGTGAGAGAGGAGGAATGAGGGAGAGGACACACCTTGGCGAACTGTTGCAGTCGGGAACTGGGATCGCGGGAGGTGGTGATAACAATTTTAGGATCTTGGATGCCTGCTCGAGAGTACTCGCTGTCGACGTGGTTCTCCGGTTCTGCATTCGATCACACAAGTCAACAATCTTCCTCGTTTGCGCAACTACCAAGTACTTACCTGTCTGCGACTGATCGAACATCAGATCCTTTCCCAGCTTCTCTGCATCCTTCCTCATCTCTCCTGGGACGAGCTTTCCTGCCGCGAGCGCATCTTTGAGTTTTTGCTTGCGCTCCCATGTCTGGCGTTCCTGTGATTCCTGTGCCTTTCGGTAGAGATATTCGCGACGCTCGCGAACTTGTCGTCGTATCTAATCGTTGAATGTAAATGATTAGAACATGTTCAAATATGTGAGGTATTTACGCCGACGTACCATCTCAAAAAGTCAAAAAAATACTGTCAGGGTCCGACCACGGGAAAGAGGCGCCGTGCTGTAGCGGCCACGGGATCATATTGCGTTGTTTTGCACTGCCACTACTTGCCCATATGACGTCGGGATACGACGGGATCAGAGGCTCCGAAAGTTGCCTGAAAGCACTGTTGGGCAGCACTACAGACCCTTGCAATGAGTACAACAGACCCCTGCAATGGGAATGATGGCCCCTGTGATGAGTTCCACCCTTCTGAAGTTTTGGCATACCAACCCCAGCCCTGGCAATGCACCTGGATACAAGGAGAGTGTTTCACACAGCCTTGGGTAGATAGTATAAGAAGCTACCAGCAACCACTGTACTTAGCTTATCTTCCCCTCTCCTAAGAATACCTTATGTGGATCTGATTTTCCCTATACTGACAGGAAGCTATACTTAACTTGACTTGGCTGATCTGAGACTGACATCTGATTTCCACATACCAACTTCCAATAGTGCAGCACCTAGCTGATCCTGACTTACTGACCAACTGATTTCTTGACCGACTTGCCTCCCCCTTCATTAGCAAGTTCTTGCCTATCTCTCATTGGACCAATATATTTGGACCCCCAATATTCGAACACCTCTTGGGTTGGATCAGTGGACCAAAGCATGCTTTCATATTCTGCTTGAAGTCTTCCCATGTGGCAGGTTTTGGATCAAGGTCACACCACCATGCTGAGACACCCACACCACAAAATGACCAAGCAATATCAACCTTTCATTCTGAGGGAACCTGACAGAGTTCCATGCCATCTTCCATAGCCTGAAGCCAGACCCCTACATTCTCAGAGGTAAGTGTCAGGGCACCAGCTCATTGCTTGGTCAAGAGACATGACTAAGCCTTTATGACA